GGGGAGGGAAGATCTCCAGATGGTTTTCACCTTTCCCCTAAACCCAATCTTTATTGTTTTCCCGTATTTGCTTAAATAAAAAACCACAGGGGTATCTTTTACGCCTCGCACCACACATTCACTCCATCATCAGATGCCGTCACGTCTAGGTTTAAAATATTGCCAGAATGTGACCACTGAGCACACCCCCACTGCTAGTACTCTCATCCACGGCAGGACCATCTCCGCACAGGGGATTATAGCAGCCGGTCTCTCCCACGTCCACTGCTGCCTCCTGTGGTCTAGCTTCCATAAATAGTCCGATGGGCTCCTAAATATGTCTTCCCTGTTGAGATCCCTTCACTGGCTTCTCATCACATTTGGAGTAGGTCAGCAGTCCTTATCAGTCTACCAGACATGCTCTATCTGCTCTAAGACATCGCCCTAATCTCATGTCCTACCCCCCTGGGCCTCACCCACACTGTCACCACAGGAGCCTCCCTTTAGTTCTCTGAACAGGCCAAGCTGCTGCTTCCTCAGGAACCTTGATCCACAAAAAGCAGACAGGAAAAGCAATTAGCATGTGTGAAGGGCTAGAGTTTACTAGAACTGTGGAACGGGAAGAGCATTAGCAGAGGCTGAGTTTGAATCCAGTTCTACAACTTTCTGCCGCAGGACCTTAGGTACAAGTTGCCCATTTTTTAGAATAGGCAAATCTCTTCATTTGTGACAACACCAACAAAAATATGGAAACCACTGCCAATTTCATAAAGCTACAGGGAAGACTGAACGAGAACGGATTTCAAACGTCTGCCACTTCGTCAGTGCCAAATAATTCATGCTCCCTTTTCTCTATCATACAGTTCTTTTCTCAGAGACGGCAAAATGTTGCTATCGGTTCAGTAACCGATTCGACTTAATTTCCAAGCGGAAATTAAATTCAAATTAAGCTAGATAGGTATTATCTTTGAAAAACCAGAAGTCGTGTGGTCACTGATGTATCATGCTATATCATGTCCTTTGTACAGAAGGGAAATTCTATTGGTCTGTATATTATCATTTTTTCCCCCTGTTGTGTCAGTTTTGGTTTTTATACAGTAAAAAATGTTTCCAAAGACTTTTCTATTTGACCTCAATATTTAACATCCTAGAGATCTCACTATACTTTTAAACCATTAGCCTAGCTATTATGGAAGAGAGTTTTAGGGATTTTCATTTGATGCTCCTGATTGCCTTAAGCAGACTTCTTTAGTGTCTGAACATCCAAGCATGGGATGTATTAGAAAGATTCTAAAAATACTGAAGGAATCTAAGGACAGCTTTTATTTCATATATGGAATGGGTAAGATAGTCAGCTCAAGTTAAAACAACTCCATGTGATTATCAGAATAAGCACATGTTTTTCAAAACTAGTTTTCAACCAGCTTCTGCAAACGATGTTCTACATAGCACTGAAGAATCCCTTTGCTCTGAACCTTCAATTCCTAAGGTAAAATATACTTTATTTTAAACCACATAGCAAAGAATCGTGTTCTCAAAAAAAGATACGTGTGGATGTGCAAAATACTAAGAAAGATTATTTCAGGAAAGTACTACTAATGCCCTAAAAATAAATGTGTATTACAATCTCCCTGACTCTTCCTGTTCTCATTTCCTAGAAGCCCAGAGTGCTGCCCTAAAGAAACCTACTATGCCCCATGTACCCAGTCTCTCCATATATGCAAGTCTACTCGTTATTTTTAGCACATTCGTCAGGGACAGCTGTTAAAGAGTAGAAGAGAAATAACAAGAAGCAATGTAGAAAGAACATAGTCATGCATGATGGGATAAGAGATGGGTAGCAAAGAACAGACTGAACATAATGTTCAGTCAAAACACTTCGTGGAAAAACAGAAAACAAAAACCAAGGACACTAAGAGGAAAAAGTTATAGCTAGTGGTAACAAAAAATCATGTCCTATGCCAAGTTTTCCAAGTTTCTTGGGGAACTGCAGAGTTGTTACAATGTTTATCGATTATAGGTCAGGTTCACAATAGCTCTGTCAGTATTTTTCAGCAAAAAAGGAGAGTAATAACTCATCAACAATCCCCATCTACAACAGGTTTTCTTACTAACACTATCTCACGCAAATTAAAAACTCTATAGATTTCCTCTGTCCTAAGACACCAAGCTAAATATCTTCGCCTTTGATTTAATCACCATGACCCCATGGAAGAGGCACGTTATTATGCCCGTTCAATGGATGAGAATTAACTCAGTTTTTGCAAAAGCTCACAGACTCAAGTTGGCAGAGACAAGATTCAAATCCAAGTCTGCTGACTTCAGAGTTCAAAGTCTTAAAACGCATAACCACCTGTCTCTCTACTTTAAACTGTCCGTGTTCCCCAGGGCGCCCAATTACGGGCATGGCTCCTGTGGTTATGCTTTTGAAAATGTCACTAGAATGGCTGCTCCGAAAGAGCAGACTAAAGGCCTCGCCTCACAGCTTTTGGAGCATCAGGAAGCCACAAGCAAGGTCTGATTTCCGGCGGCTGGTGTTGGAGGAGGAGGAGGAGGAAGAGGAAGGACGGAGGGGTGAGGACGGCTGAAGAAAAGTCCCAGGTGCAATTTTACCTGCATTCTGTTGGGATGGGGAAAGACCCGTGAGCGACGGTCAAAGGTCTGTCCCACGTGGTAAGGCGGGAACCGCCTCCGGTACTGAGGGCGATACTGGGGGCGGCGCAGCTGACTCCGGGCCCCAGAGAACTGCCCGTCAGTGGCAGGGGGGTCAAATCCTTCACTGCTGCCGCTCCCTTCCTCCTCCTCCTCCCCAGCGTACTAGCAAGCAAAGAAACAGAGATTCAGAAGAAGTTTCAGCAAGGACAGAACCAAAGAATACTGCTCAGGATGAATATCACCAAAGGAAAAACAAAATCTCCCCCAAAGGGAATAGTCCCCTCTATTATACGGACAAAATGCATTTAGCCCAGGTTATCGTGTCATTACCTGGGATAAACTACATTAAGATTAAAGTAGATCTGGGCAGATAAAATATTAAGAAGCAGAAAAGCAAAAGCAATCAATCTATAATGAATTGACGAGTCATCTCATTAGAATTGGTGAATAACGGTGGGGCTGGGGAGGGTGTCTGGGTGGCTCGGTTGAGCGCCCTGCTCCTGACTTTGGCTCAGGTCACGATCCCAGAGTCCTGAGATTGAGCCCCACGTAAGTCTCTGTGCTGAGTGTGGAGCCTGCCTCACGTTCTCCCTCCCTTCCTCCCTCCCCCTCTGGTCTCTCTCTCCCTCTGTTCCTCTCCCCCACGCATGCTCTCACTCTCTCTCTCTCTCAAAAAAAGAATTGGTGAATCATCAGTTGAACAACCAAAGAAAACATGTACAAGGTTGTTAACAGTTTAATAGCTCCAGCTAATGTGTGTCTCCCAACATCTGCCATCCAATGGGGCAGAGTCAGGGCAAAGCAAGAAAAAAAACATTGTGTGGTGTTAACAGTTTTGTCCTAAGAGTCCTACCTTCCTAGAGCCGTTCTCAAAGTGTGGCTGGGGTCTCCAAAAACCTTTCAGAGGCGGGGGGGCGGGTACCCAGTTCAAACGATTCTCATAATGGTGCAAGGATACTATTTGCCCTTTCCACTCTTATTCTCTCATGGGTATATGGAGGCTCCAAACAGCCACAGGGACACAGAGCCTCTTAGCTGACTGAATGCAGAAGGAGATACGAAAGCCCAGCTGGCTTCTATTAAATCAAGTAGAGACCTGCAAAAATATGAAGCAACACCACTCTTCTCACTCAATTCAAAAACCTAGCTTTCAGGGGCGCCTAGGTGGCTCCGTCAGTTAAGTGTCTGACTTGAGCACAGGTCACGATCTCACGGTCCGTGGGTTTGAGCCCTGCATTGGGCTGTGCTGCTTCAGATCCTCTGTCCCTCTCTCTGCCCCTCCCCTGCTCTCTTTCTCTCAGAAATGAACGTTAAAAATATCAAAAAATAAAAATAAAAGCCCAGTTTTCATTAAAAACGTTATTTATATTTATGTGTAATGAGCTTATTTACAATCAATTAAATATCTCTTAAATGTCTGCTCTAATTGCTAACAGATATAAACACACATAAAACCTCTGGGGTCATCGATAATAATTAAATATACAAATGGGTCCAAAAACCAGTAAGTTTGAGAACCACTGACTTACAGCATGATTTTCTTTATAGGCTTTGGAATAAAGTTTTAATGGCACTTTTATAGTAGTAAGTAATAGATACAGGCAGTTTCTAAATATAGGCCTTATTAACAAAGGAAACTACCGACCCCACATTTTTTCCTATATTTAAGCTACTATATATCACATACTAATATTTTATATAAAAACATAAATAGCCAAACATCCCTCAAAGAATTTATTTCAAATCTTACACTAAAGGATATAGATATGCGAATACAAAAGGCAATCAAGGGAAGTAATTATAGTTTTCAAAAATGAATAAATTAAAAACTAATAAAATAATGACCCATTTCTTTTGGGGGTGAGGGTATTTAAGATTTAGAACACTCCAGAATCAGCCACACGGGCAACTAAATTCCCAAAAGGTGAAAGTTTCAGCTATCGCCTCCAGTAATTTCAGAAAAATCCAGCCATTGTATACTACATAAAACCTGTATCAGCTACAATCTACAACTACGTAACACAGATTAGCATAAAAAAGTAAAAAAGAAACATTAGCATAGAAATCATACACCAAAATAGTAAGTGTGAGACTGCATTATTCTTCTTTTTAGGCTATTCTATACCTTTTTGAGTTTTAAACAGCCAAATCTTGCATTAATTATGTTTCCAAATAGGAATAATGGCACCACCCTTGCCAAACATGCTGTTGAGAGATAGTCAATAAGCTGTCAGGATGTCAGGACAACCCAATTAAAAAAAAAAAAAAAAAACCACCTTCATTTACACGTACTTTCAGAATTTTGAAAGTTTTCTAAGTAGCTTTCACACGCAGGACTTTGCAATTTCCAGCTGAGGAGGAAAGTCTTTAAGGAAAAACTGCTAACGTTTTTCTACCACTTTTACTTCTGAATTCACGTAATAATCAAAATCCAGTTGCCCCTTGAACAACGACAAGGTTAGGGGCACCAACGCTGTCAAAAACCCATGTGTTCGAACTCCCCCAAAACCTAACAACTAAAAGCCTGCTGTTTCCTGGAAGCCTACTGACAACATACAGTCAATTAACACCTATTTTGTATGTTACGTGTATGATACACTGTATTCTTACAGCAAATTAAGCCACAGAAAAGACAATGTTATTCAGAAAATCATAAGGAAAATACATTTATATTCATGTACTGTATTTACCAAAAAACACCTGCTGTCAGTGGACCCACACAATTCAAACACGTGTTATTCAAGGGTCGACTGCCATCACAACCAGAGTTCTGTGAATCTGATGAACTTGGAAAAGTTAACATGCTATATAATAAATGCTACAGTAGCTCATTCCTACTCGCCACCTCCAGCACAGGTTTTTATTAACAATCAAACAGGAGGGGCGCCTGGGTGGCTCAGTCGGTTAAGCGTCCGACTTCAGCTCAGGTCATGATCTCGCAGTCTGTGGGTTCGAGCCCCGCGTCGGGCTCTGTGCCGACAGCTTGGAGCCTGGAGCCTGTTTCGGATTCTGTGTCTCCCTCTTTCTCTGACCCTCCCTGTTCATGCTCTCTCTCTCTGTCTCAAAAATAAATAAATGTTAAAAAAAAACAAAGAACAAAAAACAATC